TTAATATTATAGTTTATTGTCGCTATATTACAGCTACATGTCATTTTGATCAGCTTAGTAATCTTCTTCTTTTTTCAACAACAATTGTTTTCTGTTTTATTTTAAGATGAATTGTGTTGTATTGTGTATGGTTATCAGAACGTTTATGAGTATTCGCATCAACGCTAAGAAGACCGACATACAAAGAATTAAGTATGGATTACCTCTTGTATTATATTTTAATTTTTATCAGATTTGAATTTTTTTTATAATAAACGTGTAATTTACCTTTCCTAAAAATCGCGCCCTTTTGTGACGAGGTGACCTATAACGTACGATTGGTTACACGGGTCGTTCAACTTGAATCGTAGATATACTAGTAGTTTTGATCTGTGGGCGTTCATCAATAATTATGTTTTTCTTAGATTGTTTGACGTTCACCTTCACCCATATACTAGTACGTCATTTTGACGTCACAGATGCCCCCGTTCCTAGAGGGCGCGATTGATATAAATCGAGTATTGGTGGAGTATCAATGCATGGACCGGATATATTCTAAACTGCTTACACATTTGATTTCAGGGCTGGTATTAGAGCAGGTTTTATCCTCGTACCTCTACTTGGACTAACATGGGTGTTTGGAATATTAGCTGTGAACGAGGATACCATAGTATTTCAGTATATCTTTACAATCACTAACTCGTTACAGGGATTCTTTGTGTTTATTTTCCATTGTTGTCTTAACGACGAGGTAAGGATCTTTATTTGATCTTTATGTGTACTATATTTAAGAGAAGTGTCGAAAACAGCAAAACAGAAAAATATAATTACATTGCGTGTCACAATCCGTGCATAATCATATTATTTACACAATATTTACAGTTATGTGTTTTTCTGAAGCATCAGAATTTTTTTTATGTAATCTGATTCTATCGTATACAACCATGATAAAAAGAATCCGGCTTCAATGTAAGGAGTTAAACGGTTACGCCCGCTTCCCAGTCTCTGTCTCGCGTATGTAGTTCCCTCTCATCACTGTTATACTGCCCTCAAAGTTGTTTCGTTATACCAATACAGAAACACGAACAACTAGACCGGTGCCCGAGGCAGAATCACGGTAGCGTACAGGCAAGAGACTGGAACGGAGTCTATTAAACGGCCTGCATCATTAGGATAACTACTATCTATATTGAATATTTTTCTCTACATGTAATCAAATGTCAGTGACTTTATTTTTCCAGGTAAAAACTGCATTCAACAAAAGATTCCGTCGAAGGCTTGGAAAGGAAAGCAAAACAGGCTATACAAGTCGTAGTGGCAGTTCGCAGACGTTGACGGAGGCCTGGACTGATATAAATATGACTTCTCAACTTAGCTCACCTTCTATAACAAGTAGAAATCTTAAAGCCAACGCAGTTGACTGTGTGCGATAAAGGAAACATACATCATATTGTCATCAACAAACTTTGTTGAATGTACTAGACAGAGTATATTTTATGAAACTTTGGGTCCGGTGGCATTCAAGTTGATGAAGGAGAAATCGTGCAACCTGATCGAGTATACTGAATCTAAACTAGCGGCCACACCGATTTGTAAAGAACAATCACGCACTCGAACTCTGCAAGTATAAGACTTTGCAATCAACATTTACTCATAACATATACTTCAACAGTAAATAACATTGTTTCCGTAAGATACCACTGTTACCACAATAAATAGTACTTTTGTCCATAGACCCGACAATAGACCAGGTCTACGGTACGTTACAGTGTTATCAACTTAAAACACATAACACACGATTTATTAGTATATATTTTTAACGTAGTATTTTGACACTTATTCAAACAGAATACATTTAAGCATAGAATTCCCGACGTGGAAGCTCTTCGAAGACGCGAGATATAAAAAGGCGTGTTTATGTTTGTACCACGCATACCATCACCACCACCGGCTACCCGAGAAATACCCAATTGATGTTTGCGGCTGTTATAACTGAATAATCTGTCGCCATAATATTCGAAGATTTTAATGAGACACATCAATGACATTCATGGAATTCACTCTCTATTGGCCGATGAAAACAGTTTATATATCCCATTGAAGTTTGTACCTATATACCCCAAAGTTAACTGAATATAACTTATCATATCATTCAATATTAGAGTCGAAACGATATTCTTGTTCGTATTATAAATTGCACTGTTAAGTTAGGAAATCGTGAACTTCTCTATAACAAATACAACGTACAAAGTGTTCCATTCAGTTGTTTACTGGTCCTTTTGTTATGTACGGCCTGTCGTAGTAACAGTTTTCGTACTTAAACTGTAAATAATGTACATGTATTATGTAAATAATGTATTTGCACTATAGGCCAATGAAAATTACACAATAATTTCAACTAAATAAATAAATGACGCACTTTCTGTTCTCTCGATGCTTGTTTCATGTGGGGTCACACTAATGCATACGTTACGGCATCATTATTTGTCATGCTAAAATGTCTAGCAAAATATATATACGAATGTTTCAACACAAGAGAAAAAAAAACCAGCTGCCTCACAGATATCTAAATAAGTAATTCTAACATTTACTTTATTAATTTGCATTTCTAACCCACTTTTGGGCAAGTTTGTTGTTTTAGTTGTGTTTAGTTTAGTTGTTTATACTAGTGTATCTTCTTTTTTTTATTCTGAATGTTTCTGACATGGAATGACAACCATGCTTTATTGTACTTAGATCTATGTACATTTTTAGGATACGACTTAAATAAAGACTATTATTATTATTATTATTATTATTATGCTGGGTGTGTTGCTGTTAGGTTTGAATTTATTAAATTCGGATCAGATTTAACCCGTACTTAGCATTCCTTAGCCCGTGCTAAGCGTTCACACACGTTTTCTTAGCACGGGCTAAGGAATTTGACCTCTTAGCCCGTGCTAAGGAGCTGTGCGTGAACGCAATTGACCATTTTCCGTTCACTGCGAGAATCACGCGTTATGCGTGAAATCGAACGTAAAAACAGGACAAACAAAGGTCATAGCGCCGTAGTCGCGTCAAACATCGCGTGGGATTCGACAAACGCGAAAATATTTTGGGGACATTTCCATGCTTAGTAATGTGCTGTACACATTTGATGATAGGCAATTTCAGTAAATTAAGTAAGGGTATTCGAAAGCAATATTCCTCTGTCGAAGATCGGCTGGTCGATGTGAGCTACAAAATAAAGAAACTCGAATTTCAAAATCAAATCGTTCGATTTTTGCGGCAAATACCAAATTCCCAAATATTATACGATTACCAAATACTATCTTCTATATATCATATTTATCAGTCCGAGCAGCGTTTATTTATTTATAAACTACTATTACGATTTTTGCGGCAGACGTTCGACGCGCGTCTTACATGCATCTCGCGAGATCTCGCAATTGTACGGAAAATCATCTATTATTATTGATACCAGCAAACAGAATAGCCAATATTCACCTTTGCAGACGAACGTGATTTAAAGTTATTGAACGTAAATTTAGATGTACAAAAGTAAATATATGCTGAGAATTTCGTATGAAAGTGTACGGTACAAGAACAATCAAACACAAATATACCATCATCGCCAGTGACCAGAAAAGCGGTCCAGGCTGATATGCATGTAAACTACAAGCGGGAAGAACGTCAAGCGGTTTATGTCATAAGTATCACGTGACCATAAATGTAATTTGTACGGCGGTTGGCGCGAATTGATGAGTTTTACCACATTCTCGGGATAGAGGGACTATTTTACGAACAACATGCTATTGATGAGAAATGTCACGTTCGTAAGTAGCGGATTACGTCATATAACGACGGCAATCCTAAAACGCTCATTGTCAACATTTGGAATGTGACGCACATTTCTCATTGGTGTGTTTGTTTATAGGTCAACAAAACGCTTGTTATTTTATTGTTAAAATTCAGACAACTACTAAATTTAACTAATTTATTAGTTGTCTGAGGTTAAAACAATACAGATCTTTGTTGTAGTTAGCAGAGACAGCTGACAAATAAACACACAAATCTTGCCTAGCCCACAGTCTATAGAGGGACTGTGCCTAGCCATGATACTCAGTAAAATTGGCATATCGCCAAAAACACGGGACCATCACACACACGTCTGTAGAGACGCCGTTCCATGGAGAATTTTTAGAGGTGTTCTCAATTTACAGAGGTTCGCCAAAAAGAACCTATTACTTTGCACATGAAAGTAGAGTTGGACCCCCCCCCCAAGCACCATCACCAAACTAACTTCGACAGTTTGAGAACACCCCTTACGTACTCAATACAGACATAAAATATATCGACCTTTCTGGTGGGGTCATGTGATCACACACAACTCTGCGATCCGCTGCCTTTAACACTGCTTGACCAATGGTTGCAGTGACTTTTAAGCCGGTCCCGCTGCGCCCAAACTTACGGGCTAATCTGCACTGGCTCGGAAGGTTGTAAATGATTAGCTAGTTTGAATTTGCATAACAATACTGACCATGAACGTGCATTCAACGCCACAAGTTTTTTTGTTTTTTTAGCCAATCAGAATTCATCTTCCGAGCCAGTGCAGATCAGCCGAAACTTACACTTGAATACCCGTCTTATTGTAATCTAGTGAGTTGAATAATTTGAATAATTAATGTAACGTGAATTGATGGATGTCGGAATCACGGCGATTGGTTGTCACATTTGACGTCACCAAGTCTGAAATTATTATATCTTTTTTTTAGTTTTTTTTTTTTTTTTGTAATTGTAACACAACACTTATTTCTGAGGATTGGTGTACTCCAATTGTTAAACCGGCGAATATGATAAATGACAAATGTCGAGTCAATTACGTATACAATACAATACAATGTACGTTGCATTTCTTCACGAATAAGTTTCCTCCCGCCACACAAGTATAAGCAATCTGATTGGTCGGCTACGCTGCCGGGTTTAAGAAAAAAACGATTTCAAATAGAATACTAGTATGCGTCAAAAAAGCAACTATTATTGTCGCATGAGGGCGCTCGTAAATTCCACTAACACTTGTTGTTTTATGACATCACTTTCGATTTTCCTTAGCAACCTGTACAAGGAACTAAACGTGTAGTCTCTGCCACCACGGTTGTATTTGTGAGTATATGAGTATCACTGTTATAATTTGCTCAACGATTATATTTTTGTATGCCAAGTTGTAGTCAAACTAAGAGGTGACTACACCATGGAGCTCCATGCTTTGACGGTGGCTGTGCACAGCGGCCTTGTTCGATTCTACCGAAGACAGCTGGCGTATAAAGTGCCTCGGTAGAATGACCTGCGTTTTGAAGGCCGTTCTTTCTACCTGGATTCCTACGCTCTGCACGCCTTTCAAAATCCATAAAAAGTTGCGGATTATCGATTTTGATCGGAGTTAAAGGTCTGATAGAGGAACAAACATGAACGTAGACCATAGTCGATCGTAACAAAAATGACTCTTCAATCGCAACCGTGGCGTTGGGTAGGGTAGGGCATGGAGGGTAGAAAAGAGAGGGTAGGGCGAATGGTGGTGTACCATGGTTTCAAGTG